ATGACCTAGTTTTATGTCTAAAAATAGCAATGATTTCATTTGTCCCGTGAGTATGAATCATTTTATGCTCGTTGCAATTTACAGGTGCTAAGTCGAAAGTCAAGGTTTCAAGGCTAATTGTGGTAATATTCGATGATTTAAAGTGACAAATTGCAAATTTGTTACAAACTATCTCATGCTTTATTTACGAAGTACGTGGAAGTACGTGCTTCTGGTGCAACAGACACGTTGTTGACATGGTATTTTATGGATTCCTTTTTGTAAAGTAGAAGCAAAGGATAACGTGGAATTTGAAACATTCAAGGCCACATAGACTTGAATACAATTTATTGTTTGCAAAGAAATTGGGAAATTTTAGCTCAGTAGTCATCTGCAATTGCTTGTGAATAAAATAAGATTTTCATTCTTTCTTTTTCCTCGATTTTTTACTTTCAAAAAGTAGTACAATGGAAAGATGGCACAAAATAGAACTGTTAACTTTAAAAGACGTATGTTTGAAAAAGAATAATCGTAGACAAAAAAATAAATCTCCAATGTTTACGCTTAATCTAAACATGGTATTTAAGCTTCCGAATGAAAACTTCTATAACTCTTTCTGTGCGAATATTAATGGTACGTTCCACTGCGATACTGAAATTATGAAGTTGGGTAATACTCAAAGTCGGAAACAGGCTTAGTTTTGTGGGTCAACCATAAACTCGTATTACAATTTTGAATAAAAACAGAAAATTTCTTTCGATTCGGAGTAACTACTTTCTAGTGAAATATTTGCAACAATAAGAAGCAAACAATATATGTTGTAGTCATTTGCTCAGTTTATTAAAAGGTCATGTGCGCCATCTCGCGGAGTACGCTTGCATTGTGCACTGTTTCCAAAGTAGCTAAGGTCAAATGTTTTAGAAAAGAACTTTTTTAATATCTTGTTATTATGGAACAGGGTATTTTTGTTCTTTGTTCCAAAGCTGAACTTGTTTTAGTTTTGATTTCAGGCAATACCTCATATTTATTTTTAGGTTTGGCTGTTAGAACGAAACTATTATGAAAAATGCGATTTGCACCCGAAAATGTGACATGAGCTAATTTGATTACAATAGGGCAATAAACAGGTTTGTGAACTTCGGAATTTTGAATATTCCCATTTTCTCAAAAATAATTAAATTTATTCTCATGAAATGCAGTTCTTGGTTGCTAACTGCCTTGTTATCAATTCCAATTATTGTGTAAATCAATCTGTAAAAAACATTATTATCGATAACTGAAACCTATGGCCCCTTCACCATCTCGTTCGGAGTTAGATTCTGTTTAAAACGACCGTGTCATAACGGTTATCTACTACCAGAAATCTCGTTCAGTTTATCGTTATCGCTAAAGTTGAAAAGTAACGCAAAGTAACACAAATCAAGGAATGTATTGCTATGAGACATATACATGTGTCATGTTTTAATAACACGGTTGTAGTTAAAACAACAAAGTAAAAAGCGAAAAATATGTACAAATATTCATCGTTGAGAGTGATCAATGTCTCACCACATAATAAACAACATACAAAAATAGAACTGTTACATAGTTCCATCAAAGTAATTAATTGGAAGTTATACGCGTGAGAAGGTCGGAAATTATTTAGCTCTTTCATTTTTTTTTTATCAGAACATTGTTATTTTAATGAAGTTTTTAAAATGTTGAAGACGAATTCCCTAAAGCTGTTGATATATGGTTGCTTGAGGACTCATCTCTGTGAAATTTCATAACGGCTGCATTTGTAGGACAATATAATAATTTGAAATATTGGCTATTTTGATCACTCATAATTTTTATCAAATATAGGTAGCGTATTGAGTTACATTTCGAACGAAATAAAATGTTATGGTTGTATGGGTTCACAAAAATGACCCGCAATAAAAAGGGCAAAGAAATAAAACGAAAAGAATATCGTAAATAGACCCATATATTTTAAATATATATCATTCAAAACTATTTCAGGTTTACAACTTTTGTACCACTCTCGTATTGCACACGACGTTGCCGAATACTCTATATTGCATGATCCGTGCATGAACGATTGCAGAAAACGACGATCAATATTATATAAAAGAAATAAAGATCTCAATGAAATGTGTTTGTTGCTGGGGCATGTGATGTATAAAATTTACATTGGCAAACATTGATGTGCGAAACGAGTTCACCGTGTTACCAATCTTACTGGAAATATTACTAATACCATTTTTAAATATGAACAATCTTTGGCGTTCCCAAAATAAGTTGAAATTCAAAATTTCATGTTTAGTATCATTTTCTAATCCATGTAGGAACATTTTCCAATTTATTGATGTAAATATTGTCCAAACGTTGTCAGTATATTCTAACAGTTCGCTGAGGTTGTTTGAATCAAAGTACAAAATCGTAGTGACGAAACGGGTACTTTAAAAATCAACGATTTACTAGAAGATTGTGTTGAAAATAAATAACGTTCATAGAGCGTGTTTTGCAGTCGCAGCATCACTCATTGTAAAAAATATATGCTTTCGAGAATATGCTAAGTCGGTCAGATATTTGGGATATTTGTAGATGTTACATTTCAATGGGATGAGAAGATAGTAAGTTTAATCTTAAGACATAATGAGGTTCACTTTAAAATAGAAAAATATATTTTTGCAACTAAGTTTACAATGAAACCTGTAATTCATAAAAGAAGAACAAGACGACTTGAACACAGTATTTTTTGAATTACTTTTGTGTATCTGGACTTGTGCTCTTTTTTATATATGTTCCGGAACTAATTCGATAGTGATATTGATACAAAATAAGTCTGAAATATTTTACATGTTATACAATACGCTAACTGATGATCATGTGGGTAGCAAATGTGCATGACAGTTTAGATTTTCCTACGTATTATATTTCTATTATTACGCTTATATTTTTTGTCAACAGTTACTTTGTATGTATATTTTGAATGGACCCTCGAGCTTTGTCGAAAATCCGCTGCTTTTTAATTAAAAACCAATGAGAGAACGCGTAGTCATAAATTCCATTATATTCTATGTCGAAATATCTATTTTAGTCAGAAACGTGGATAATTCGAGGCTAAGGTGATCGCTTGAATATTCGCCCATACATGCACGATTCCACAAAAAATACGATAAAATATATAAAGCCATAATGATCCTAATGAAACGAGAGTGGTACAAAAGCTGTAAACATGAAATAATTATGTATGGTATATATTTAAAATATCTGTTTCTGAATAGGATATTCTTTTCATTTTATTACTGAGCCCTCTTTTTTGCGGGCAAGCAGGCATTAGTCGAGATTTTTTTCTTCTTCATTTCTCAATCATGCAGATATGTTGAAACGTCTCTTTGCATAAATTAAGCCATAAAATATATTTAGGCTTGTATGTTATAAATTGAACTATTCTTCGTTTTGAGGGCCATTTCTGCAGGATAATAAAATATAATTTGAAGTTAATAAACACGCTTACTCTTTCGAGAGATGTCGTGATAACGAAATATTTTTTTCCTTCTTTATCGAATCTTTTTACATATTTCAACAAGACAAACTTTCCTCTCGTATATAAATCGCGATGAAAAGCAGTGCAAAATCATTTGCTAAATCGGACAAGCAGATCGGATAAACTGGGACAAGTTGTTACAAGAAAGAACTAACTCACAAAGGTAATTTGTCAGCAAAATATATTTACGTTATGTGGAGTTGGTATTGTTTGAATGGTTATAAAAGTGAATACGTTAGAATATATCAATGTGCCCAAATTTGAAAAAAAAAATCCGTTTCAGCTCCTAAAATTGAGATTCATTTTTTGATTAATCGAACCGATTTTGCCCTCGTCATGCTTTTAATTTTTGAAAATGATGATATCTGTATTAAGTTTTCTATAGAGGTATTTTTCCGGTACTCCTGTAGTATACGAACCAAGCTGGCGGACACCGGAACGCAGTGTGTGTACCAGGTTAGGGTTAGGTCATAATTTTATTCCAATTTTCTTCCATTTTCGTTCTATTACAAGTGACTCCCGTAGTATATGTATCTGTGGCCTACTCCTAACCAGGTACACAAACTACATTCCGGTGCTCGCCATCTTGGTTTGCATACTACAGGAGTACCTTTTTTTATTCCGAGGATTTTTATTTCAATAAATAAATAAATTTAAAATCTAATTTACTAGTAATAACGTTTAATTTATTATTAATTTTACACGTCCACCTCCTCTCTTCAGGAATAGAAGCGGGTTCCATGATGTCGCGTTTTTCTGGTGCCATAACGTTTTTTATTACAGCCTTCATTACAGCCTCTTCAATGCAACGTATTGTCTTGTTAACGCATGTACGTTGAAAAAATTCGCATTTCACCAGAATTTTTGATTTTTAGTTTATTAAGGCGTCATAATGTTATCTATAAAAGTTTATATGACGCCATTGTGGGGAGAAAGGGAGAGGCATCACAAATAGAATAGACTAGGGCCGGGATGGGCATTTTGTGAGCCCCTCTTAATAAGGACGTTGTGGAAATTTCTTACAACTACATGCAAAATTTTAAATTTTTAAACCTTATTTTAAATATACAAACTACGATTATCCAAATACTATTGTTGTTTTTCTTTCCATCTCCAATTCAGCAATAGCGACAACTATCAAATTTGACACTATAAAAAATTAAATGCATTTCCCAACGCGATCTTCAGCAAGAAAGATCTTTTAAATTCAGCTCTCGCAAAAAAAAATTGCTCATATCCGGTCTAAGACCACCCTTTCTCAAAGTTAGATTAGATTATCGCTCCAACTTATTTAAAATTAAGACAATTGAAGATAATATATATATTAGAAAAATAGTGGAAGAGAAACACTAGGAATAGTAAATTTAACTGACTCGCCTCTAAAAATTAGGTTTATTATTTAGTTTTTTAATTGTGTTCTGGAGTGTGTTTGCATATTAGTCGATTAAAATAGTCATTTGGTTTTTAAATTTTTCAGTCCCAAACACAAATGGCTTCGATGAAAATTGTTCAACTTCTCTTCTTTGCTTTGTACGTCGCTTGTACTGCAAATGGAGGAAATCAACAACGTATCTGCATGCAACTGGAAGCCATAAATGTCGAGGAAGAAGAATCTGGACGTACAAGGTAAGAAATATGTTGCCATTTCATGGTTATGGTTGTGATTATGATGATTTAGTTAGACTAGAGACACCTTAGCCCATTAGCATTTTAGTGTGTTACCATTTTCTAATATTTATGCAAGACTCCATACCACCGGGTCGTTTTTTTCTGCATTTTATCATGATGCTTTTCGAACCTACATAAAATATATTCTCCTTACTTCCTGTCGCTCACTTGCGGCTTGTTGGAAAGTATAGCAAAGGGCACGTTTGATTAATTGGGTTTTGATCGTCTTCGGATCTGTCATTATATATTGTCAGTAATATTTAGCAAAATTTACTATTTTTTGACTAGGGAAACACAAAGTTAGTTTAGATAGAGTGGGATAATAGAAAATCATCTTACATGAACCTAAAACATAGTTTTTTAGAGAGCCTTGTAATCCAAAAAACGTATAAATAAATTATAGGCAGCCGACTAATCAAAGAAACTAGGCAATATTTCAGAAAAGTTGATTTTGAAAAGCTGAAACTCATGCCCAAAATACATTGAGTTTACATTATCACAACCCATATCAAAATACAATTTTACCGCTGAGCCACACTGTCTTATTTTAATTAAAAATTTCTTTTATATTTCAGAAACCCTTATTCTTCTAGACCAGGAAAACGAGGCGCAAAAGGCGATGTTGGCCCAGCAGGATTAAAGGGATCGTCCGGAGAAGTTGATTATAGAAGAATGAACCGAGCAATTCAAGAAAATGTAGAAATTGGTAAGTTTCAGAATTAGTTGGACAAAATTCGACCAAAGCCGAATTAGTAATGGTTTCAAATTGACTCGAATCATGAAATCAAATATTACTAAGTTAGAGCTATAGATTATAATTTTATGAGTAACAAATCATAAAACACTTTTTTTCCCCTATTTTGATTCGAATCATGAGATAAAATTTTAACAAATTTATAAACTATTTTTTTTTGTATCAAGTAAATAACAAAGCAACAAGCCGGTAGGCGCCTAATTGGATCTCCGCCATTGTTTGAGGCCCGCGTCATTTCAGTTTACTAACGGGTAATAGGAGACACTACTAAATATGCCAGTTCATTTAAACGCTGCGCGTTCCGTTGAGTTTATTTCAAACGCTGCGCGTTGCGTTGACATACTCGCGTGACTGATATGTGGCTAAAAATAAATAAAAAAATGTTCACTAAAATTCTAAAGGATTCTCCAGTTTATAGAGTATCGAGACCAAAGACGACTTATCGGAAAGAGGTAGCATTCTTGGAATTGTAATTTTCGCTTTAGTTGGCGAGAAAACGGCGACCAATTGTGAAAAAACTGGAAATTTCTAACAATCGGCGCTTTTTCGTTGTTACCACGGAAACGAAACCCCTATCTGAAATTTCTATGAAACGCACATTACTAGGGTGACGTGCAAATTCCATCCAGATTGGTCCGGCCGTTAAGACGCTACATCTAAACAGACAGAATGTCTACTAATAAGGGTCTCCTAGAGCGGAGATCCAATAAATATCTAAGTACAATATAGCGTAACTTCGCTCAATTAAAAAAATCATTAAACTGAATTGCACGAATTAGAATACTTTGGCCGGCCGATACTTTGTGACCGAGCAACAACAACCGGGGGTAATGACATAAGAGCTCGAGCCCTTAAATAGTAATCAAAATATTTTTTAAATTAAAATCGCCATACAGTTTAGATGGCTTCAAATTTTGCAGCAAATACAATTGTCTGCTAGACAAAAACAAAACTATTTTTGAGCTCTTTCTTTGAATGAAAGTTTGCAATGCAATTGAAATGCACGCCACGCGATCGGAATCATTAATCTTACTTTTCAGAATGCAATCGAGTCAACACGGGATTGGTTGAAAAAATTAATAAAATGGAAGAAATGATTCGAAAAATGAATAGCTCTATCCCTGATCCTCGAATTCTGCTGAAGTTACAAGGTAAACTATTGAGAGAGATCCAATGTTACTACTGATGTGATGAGGTGACTGCCGATTGTTTTCAAACAGTTTCAAACAAGAATACAGGATATAAATAAACCCTGGACTACCAAGTACTCGTGTTCAAGAAAGAGGACGCAAGCCATTTTACGCAATTAGAATGAGCAATCATCAAAATTAACAAACCTTTGCGTTCCAGAAAAAAATAAGTTATTCAAACTATTCATTTATTTTTATTATAAAAAGGCTAAAGTTTCTAAAATTGTTCACAGCAACACTAACAGCATCATGTACGTCTACCGAGGGACGTAACTCTATTAAATGTGATTGTTCGATGCAATTGAAGTCTACAATGCCACGAAAAGTTTAAAAAGAAACCTTGCATTGTTCCACTTTAGGTCTCTGTGCCGTACAGTACCGCGGTCATTGCTTCTGGTCATTAGTGCATTCATCCAAGGATATCAATATGGATGAAGCCAGAAGAATTTGTGGAGAAAACAATGGGCTTCCTGCGAACGTTTATAACCAGCAACATATGAACGACTTGATGGTTGAAATTCGTCACAAAATATCGTCAGGTAGTCTTATCTGGACTGGCATGAAAGTAGATATATTGGCGAGTAGTTCACAACGATTATTTTTCACAAGATGTGGACAATTTTAGGTTCAAGCGTAAGCGTATTCGTAAGTGCTTGTAACGATTTCAAAGTTAAATTACAGATTATTTAGTGCTAAAATTTCCAAATTTCCTTATTCATCCTCGTTTAACATTTGTATTTACAGACAAATGCAGTTCTCATGCGTGACGGAAGTCGGTCACCCTATGTTAAATGGTGGGATAGTAAATTTCCACAAGAAGAAGAATCAGGTTTGTATATCTACGTTCTTACTGATTCATCATCCAGCGGACAAGGAATGGGAAACGATCCTCCTATAAACAGTCTACATGGCGTGATTTGTGAAAAATAAAATTCAATGCATTCGAGATTCTTATGTTTGATTAACCTTTCACAATCCCTGTTTTGTAAATCAAATTTTTGGAAATGTTAAAAACATTCCTTCATCATTTCTGGCATAACAATGCGATAGTGTGAGCCATATTTTTAGTATATTTTAAATATAGAACAAGTTTTTCGATCCAAATGAGTTGTTTTAGATTTTCGCCTTTGAAAGGCCACATGCAAGCATTTCAGATTTCTTATTTATATATTCGAAAATAACTGTTTTGCGCTCTATAATTAGCAAATCTACGATAACTTTCTTTTTTTTGTATTCCAACTATATACTAAAATTCGACATTAGAAACGTTTGTTTTAATTTTCAATTGTATAAGGTTGTACACTTCATCGTAATTGTTTATCATTAAGTTTAATATGTAGTCAAATTTGTTTTCTTGTTTATTATATTACATGTGCGTTCTTCAGTTTCTGTAGAGTTTCTTGCAATTCTGTTAAAGTTGTGAACAATAAAACGAGCAAATTTCAAGCAGATATCGTCAACAATTTGACTTGATTCTCATGTTGAAAAAAAAAAAGATTTGCAGCAAAGCGAAAAAAACAAGAATAATTTATTAAAGGCGGAGTACGCGAATTTAATACGATCAGAAGAACTCTATAAATATTCTAATCGTTACTTGATCTTCATAAACGAACGGACAGAAGCCAAGTTCAGATTTGATTTATTGTTTCGATGACAACACTACTCCCGATCGATCACACGATAAATTCCGACATACACTTCAAATTAGGTATTTTGATTAACAAAACTCATGTGCTAGTACTATTTTTGTATGTTGTTCATTGTGTGGTGCGACATTGATCACTCTAGTATTAAATATTTGTATATACTTTCATTTTTATTTTTTGCTAACTCCGAACTTCTCATGTTATTAATACAAGACACATGTATATGTCACATAGAAATATACTTCTTGATTTGGATTTTGTCACACGTGACTTTTCAATATTTTACGATACCGGAAACAAAATTTGGATATCGCCACTACACCGTTTTAAACAAAACTTGGTATACAGTCGTTCACAGTTTTTCTAGTGTGAAAGGGATGTTGCTGGTTATACAAAACCGAACTCTAAACAAGATGATAAGGGGGCGCTAGGCTTTAATTATCCATGATGAATGTTTTTTTAAAGATTGATTCACACAATTATTATGAATTTGAGACAAGGCAGCAAGCGAGAGTGAACGAAATACCTTGAGAATAGCCTTGAGTTCATTTCCGAGCTTGGGAAAAAGAAAATATTCAAAATATAAAATTCTACAAAACTGTATATCGCCGCAGTATATTTAGCTTATGCCACATTTTTAGGTGTAAATCGCATTTTCATAAGAGTTTCGTTCTTACAGCTAAACCTAAAATTAGATACAAGGCACTAACTAAAATAAAAGGTAAAACAAGTACAGATGTGAAACAAAGACGAAAAAATAGCCATAATAAATGCTCCATAATAATAGAAAATTGAAGAGGTGTTCTCTTGAACATGTGACCTTAGCTACTTTGGAGTCAATGCGCGATGTCCGCGAGATGGCGCACATTATCTTTCATTGAACTGAACAAATTACTATAACATATATTGCACACACAACACATACATACAACATATATTGCACCTAATGAAGATAATGTCGGCTTTTTCGAACAATTAATGCTTGATGTACTAGAAACATTAGAAACTGATCACGTCATACTCGCTGGTGATTTCAATTTAATTTTGAATGATGATCTGGACAATAAAGGAGGTCGACCACTTCATGCGAATCAACGGTCTAGATACACTCTTCTCAATATAATGGAGGAATATTATTTATCTGACGTCTTCCAATCGAAATATCCGACAAAACAGTGTATTTCTCATATTCAAAACCCAACCAAGATCATGACACGTATCGATTTTTTTCTCATTTCCAAACATCTAGTCACGCAGACGACAAAATGTGCTATTATTCCTGCGGTCAATTCAGACCACGCCCTGTGTACTTTAGACTTGAACATAAACTCATTTGTACATTGTTAAAAGACGGAAATTACCTAAATCTAATGAAAAGGACAATATCCAATGCAATATTTGATCATTCTCATGAACCGGTTGTTTGATAAGAGGGAAAGCATAGCTTATGCAAGTACACAGAAGTGCGTGAAGCAAAAACAAAGAAGAGAATTGGAATCTAAAATCAGCCAACTAAGAAACGAAATGCACTCAAATAATTCGACAGACACCTATCAAAATCTTTTAAAACCCTCCCACAGCCGGTAAGCCCATATGGGCTTTTCAACGCTATTAAGGCTAGCGCATGGTAACCTACTGTTGCTATCGCTCTTAGCTGTTTATTGACGTAATGCCCTGGTATGAGAGAAGCGATAAAACCTTCCAGCCGTGACGCAAAGTGCGAATCGTATAAATAGCGTGGATTTCAAAATTGCCTGTCAGACCTCTGAAAATGTCCACTCAGCTCAGACAGGAAATACTCCTTTATAACGACTTATTATTGTTTTAGCATGTATTTTCAGTCATACTAACTATCCCTGACCATCCCTGGCGCTGTGTTGTTTTGATAAATATGATTTTGACTGCTCCATAGTTGGCAGAGGTATGGAGATTTTTTGTATGTAAAAAAAACGTAAAATTAATGGTAATTTTAACGCGTAAATGTGCGTATGGGATTGTTTACGTCGTTCTACGCGCATTTCCGTCGAAAAAATTTAATTTTTTTGCATTGGGGGTGGTCTGTGCAGTAATAATAAGAGCTGTGACGTCATCAATATCGGTAATTTGACCTTGAACTTGACAATACTGTAAATACAATTGTGAATTTCAGAGTAATAACGATTTATGCTATAATAGTCGTTTTGGTATTGTTATGTTAGGAAAAACTTGACGAAAACGTTGAAGAAAAAATTAATTAATTAGGAATTAATTATTAACCCTCTACTGTACACAGAATATTTCAAAGTTCAATTTTTTTTTAGAAATTTTTGAAATTTTTTTGCAAAATTTTTTTTTCGATGAGTGTGTTTTAAAGATATATTGCTGAATAGAACTCTAGCAGACGATTTCAAAAAGCCATGAGTTAAGATTTAGGGCTTAATGGTTGACAAAAAAAATAAGTTTAAAAATACCCATAAAATGGTCAGGGATTTGAGCTGTCCGAAGGTTAAAGGAACAGGAAAAGCTAAATTTATTATATCAAAGCATAACACATGGACATATTATACGCAGTAAAGCAAAATGGGCTGGAGATGGAGAAAAAAACTCTAAGTATTTTTTTGGACTTGAAAAAAGAAGAAAGCTAAATTCTACAATATCGACCTTACAAACAGAACATGGTATCTCAACCAATCAAGAGGATATAATAAAAGAAATACAAAGATTTTACGAATCACTGTATAGTTCTGGTCAACCTGACCATATTTATACCCAAAATATTATTGAGCCTCTAAATATATCTCTTATGATAAAATATATTTCTCTTAGGTGCACAGGACAAATAACAGAACAGCAATGTAAAAATGCACTTTTTAAAATGACAGACGGCAAAAGTCCAGAAAGTTTAGACGGAGTACCTTGCAAAATTCTATAAAGTCTTTTGGGAAGATTTGAAAGACTCTCTGCTGAAATGTTATAACCAGGCGTGTATCACTGGTCACATGAGCCAAACCCAATGTGATGGAATAATAACCCTTATATTGAAGAAAGGAAAAGACGCCGATAATTTAAGAAACTATCGACCCATTACGCTATTGAATACGGATTACAAAATTTTAAGTAAAGTTCTCACGACACGAATCCAAACAGTAATGAACGATATAATTCACAAAGATCAAACAGGCTTTATTCAAAACAGAGAAATGGGAGAAAACATACGATTACTTTGCGATATAATAAACCATAAAACATATAATGAAATACCTGGTACAATTATTGGATTGGATATTTGTAAAACATTTGATAGTGTCGAATGGTGTTTCCTGTTGCAGTCACTAAAATCATTCGGATATCAAGACAACTTCATTTCGTAGATAAAAATTCTTTATAACCAAAACAAACTATTTATAACAAACAACAATTTCTTTTCTGGGGCAATTATTCCACAAAGAGGGCTTAAAACAAGGTGACCCAATCTCATCGTATTTATTCCTTGTAGTAATAGAAATTTTTGCAACGATGGTTCGTAAAAATAAAGATATCACTGGATTTAAAATTGCAGAAAACGAAAACGAATTAAAATAGCCCTAGCTGCAGATGATACAATAGTCTTCACTGATGGTTCATCTAAAAGCATTGAAACCTTATTTCGAACAGCTGAAGTGTTTGGAACTATTTGAGAATGCAAAACAAATGCTGAAAAATAACAAGCAATGAATATTGGAACTAAATGTGGCATAATCGAACAAAATATTCACCACAATCTCAATGGACTTATGAATTTAAATGATTAGGAATTACAATTACGGCTGATTTGAATAAAATATATGAACTCACACCGTTTAAGTTGCAGCAGGTACAAAACATTATACAAATTTGGCGTATGAGAAATTTAACAATTCTAGGAAAAGTATGTGTAATCAAATCATTAATTATATCGCTATTTACATATCAATTTATATTTTTAGCTGTTACTATTCTCAAAAAATTTGTTAAATCACTGAATTCTTTAATATTTCGTTTTTTATGGAATTCAAATTGGGAAAGAATCAAACGTAAAACATTGTTTGGCCCAATTCTTCTTTTGTGATTGTTTTGAGGTGTCTTGTCACGCTGGTCTTGATATCCTCGACTCTTGTGTCCCCTTGAGAATACCTTTCAGCTTAGGAAAAAGAATGAAATCGCAAAAAGAAGTAAGTCCGGCGAATAAGGTGGATGATGCAACGTGGTGATTTCTTTCGAGACCAAGAACTGTTTCACGCTGAGGGCTATGTGGGCAGGAGCATTGTCGTGATGCAAGATCCAAGT